TTCATTCAGTTTTTTTTTTCTTTATTCTTGTTTTAATGCACCTACCTTTAAAAAAAAAAAGAAAACCACATGGAAAACATGTTGATGTTTCCTACATTTTATGTTACATCTGATGCTGTCCAGAGAAAAGGTAAAAATGGACCCTTGTGTCCTTTTCTGTCACATCCTTCCTCTTTGCTCTGCAGACCTACTAGCACGCTTTACTGCTGCATATGGGGTTGAAGTGTGTTGCCCCCTAGAGGACGGAGATCAAATCAGACACCTGCCATGTTCCACGTCCCCCTGCCGGGATTTTGCATCTGCTTGCTGTGCTTGTTCCTTTGCCTCTCTTGACACAGTCAAAATGTATAGGAAGAAGTGAATAAAAAAAAAAAGAAAACAGGAGAAGTCCAGGATATGATAGGTCAGGAATAATGTAAAGATCCAAACGTGTTTTTATATATATAAAAGTAAGAGAGAGAGAGCGAGAGAGAGAGAGAGAATATCAAATAGACATTGTCACAAATGTCAAATATCAGATTTACATAGTGGTACAACATATTCTGCAAAAGAAAAAGTTTTAAATCTCATATTTACCTTAGATTAAATCCTAATTCTAAATACAACTCTCTTACAATTAAATCCAAATTTTTCCTTTTATGGTTATATTTTTTCACAATATTTAGTGCTTAAAAACACAAGTGTTCTGTGAATGAACTCTAACTCATCTTTTTTAACCACAATATTCCGTGGGTTTTTCTTTTACATTCGACAAACAACTGTTTATGTTATGCATTCTGTGAATAAGCCTTGGTTTGTCATTGAACCAAAATGTAACATTCATCACTCATGTTTGATAATAATAATACAAAAATACATTTAAAAAAATACTGTACGTTGTGTTTTCAAACCAGATTTTTCTTGTTTTAAACCATAGTTTTTTCAGGATTAAACTGCAGGGCAGTCACGGTGACAGACAGTCATCTGAGAATCAACAGGCTGCTGTATCTGCACAATGAGGACAGGTAGGACAACCACAGCAGAGTGATCACATATTCTACAAGCTCGGACTTGTATCGGTGATGGAACGCTGCCTGTGCAGCTCACACAGCAGTCTGGCTCATGTTTGAAAATAAAAATAAAAATGGACTGAGAGCTACAGAAGAAAAAAGGACTTGTTTTTGTCAAACGAAGGTTGAGCCAAAGTTGTTTACAGTTTCCTGCACTGCTGCTTGTTGAAAGGATATGTAGTCAGGTGGTTGAGAAGTTTCCATAAGTAAATATCAAACATTTAACAAGGAGGTTTTCTTTAATGACAGCCGTAGGAGCACACACACAGTGTAAATGTCAACCAGGTGAAACTGTCTTTCAATCATATGGTCCCAACCTAAGTTGACCCACCTCAACGCTAGTAATCTGTCAGTGTATGTGTGTCTGTGTGTCTGTGTGTGTGTGTCATCCACCAACAAGTTTGACCACAGATTATCTTAGAGCTGTAAAAGTACAGCAGCAGCCACAGGTAGGACCTAAGCCTGAAGGGATGTTTTCTTGGAAGGATTTAAAGGATAAAAACAGCAATGCAAACTTGGCCACACATGTTTGTGTCACTGCATAGTTTTACAGTTTTCTGGTAAAAGATTATTAAAGGCCCAGCATTGAATCCACGGCAATATACTAGTATATTGTACTAAAACACAAAATAAGTTGATTTACTACTGATTTGAATCTCATACTGATAGAAAACCAATGAAAAACATTTAGACAGGGCGGAGCTCAGCAAATTGATTTTATTGTTTTGATATGTGCCGTTATTACTTGCTGTTTATCGCTGATTTATTGCCTTATTGGTTTGTGTATTGTTTGCACAGCACCACAGTCACCAGAGGTTCTTATTAAACATGCCGTTGAAATAAGCTGTTATTGTGCCATGTTCATATCCTGGGTTAGGATTTGGATGAGATGCACATCACAGAGTGACCTGTTTGTTTTCTTAATAATCCGTGTACCGTGTGTCGGACACATCTTATTGGCCTCTTGTATAATGGTAACATTTCTATTAGCGATGTAGTTAACAGCGGGTGACATTTATGAGCAGTGTCACGATCTCTAAGGACAAACAGTTTAAAGCCTGTTAATACCATTTTCTTTTCTTTTTTTTTATCATGCGCAATTGTAAAAGGAACACAGATATCCAAAGAGTGTTTTACATGAAAAGGACTGGGGGTAAATATAATAAAAAATGTAGAGGTTGAAAATACAACCAGTAGATGAAGCACAGCTTGTGTCCTTGTTATTTGAGGATCACAGAAAAGATATTAAAGACATGAGGGACTAAAATGAAGCAGTGGTTGAAACCCCTCCTCTGACTGATGCTCTTTCTGCTCTCTATCTTTGACCCACAGCCACGAAACAACAGGGTATGGTTAATTGGAGCATGTGGATGTGACTGTAAATGGATGTTTGTCCTTATATGTGGCCCTGCACTATGAGAGACGTAGACTCGCTCAGTGACTGTGGGAATTGACTCCAGCTTCCACCCTGTGACCCTGAGAAGAACAAGCAACTGAATGACAAAAAGGGAAAACACTAAATTTTCCATTTTCCAATATCAACCGATACGATATATGCAAAAAGACTCTGATTAATTTCTAACAAGAGCTCCATCTTGGACCTATTCTTTTATTTTCTTCCCCTACCTCTGAGTTGAGTCCCTGCTGCAAAGCCTGTGTCACCTTAGGTTGCACATGGATGCAGAAAATGATTTCTGGGTTTATTTTTGAGGAGACTGCAGATCAGCAAATGTTCCAAGGAGTCATGGATCTCATTGCACGGCTCCGTTTTTATTCCTTCCGTTTGTACTAGGCTGCTTCCATGGCAATGGTGATGCATGTTGACATCACAGGAACTAAAAGTAGACATGGCAAGAAAAGGGCTCTTAAATGCTGCCATCTGACTCAAATAGAGCCAAGGAGATTCAGTTTTAACAACAACAACAAAAGAAAGAAATAACCAAAAAATCAAATGTTTTCTTTTAGGAAAAGCTTCATTTAAGGCTTATTTTCTAGTTTTTTTTCCGATTATCTCTACAATTACAACAATTACTAATTCTCTCCTCTGCTTTCCTCTCCTCTCAAACTGATTTGGAAAATATTATTGTGTTGACAAGAACGCCGCCATGTCCCTTTCAATATCTTAAGTCAACATGGAGGTAATATCTTATCTATTATTAATTCAGCCCAGGGAGGACCTGCCTTTCACGTTTACTGTAATTTAAAAGAGGAAATGTGTGCTTGAAAACAATGCCAACATAATGTTTATGATGGGACTCAATTAACGACATGCCACACTGTAGGAGTTACATAAACATCAAAGGCTGCAGCAGGAAAAATATGCGAATCACAGGTGTAAATATTCACAGCACAATCCAAATCAGCCCAGTCACAAAATGGAGAGAATTACTTTTGCTGAGAACAACTATGAACCGTAGTCAGAGAAAATACTATACTAATAATAATACTAATACCAGGCCAGGGGCATCCACATTTTTTTGGATTGGGAGCTACTTTTGAACACAAGGCCAAAGTGATCTGTCTACATTGATAATAATAATTATTTTGAGGTATTTTTATTAAATTGCTGTCTGGCACAATATGATTGAATGCTTATATATTACTGTAGTCCTAGATATTTTATATAAAAATAGAATGACATCAATACTTTTCATTTCAATTTTTTTAAATAAATTTTATCATCACAATTTATGTAATGCACCCTTGAAATAGGCAATCATTGTTTCAAAATAAAATGTTGGATTAACTATAGATTCAAATGTTTGATTATTATTTTTATTTCAGACTCTTGTAATTTCTTATAAAGCATTCTATGCACAGTAAATATTTGTTTCTGATCACAAACAACAAAAAATTGTACTTTATGATCATTCAACAGATCCAAAAAAGGTAACATTAAATAACAGCACTTGTCTAAAAGTAATTCTGCCAGAATGTGGTAGTACATAGTCCAAGTACACAGAACACCAAATGTTGGTTGAAGAAAGATTATGCAAGAAGATTTTTAGGAAAAAATTCAGAAAATATTAGGAAGACACTGGCTTCAGATCCTGTGGTACTTTTACATTGGGACCAAAGAACAAAGTCTAGGATCATGGTCCAAATGCATGGAGTCTTGGGAAAAGCAAATTAAGACTCACACTGCGACAAATCAACTTGGCAGACCAGGGAAATCCCAGTAAGAAGAATGTGTTCCTGACCCTTTGAAAACAGGTTGCACAAAGCTGTCGGCAGATAAAACCAGGGCTTAGACTAAAATACACTGGTAAATAATATACTCTAAATTCAAAGGTGAATTATATTGGTTTGTTTCAACCCACTGGCTTTAAAGTGGCCATTACCACAACTAATCCAGTAGCAGACCTCTGTGGTCAGAGGTCAAGTCGAGCAGTAGCCCAGCAGGAACAAGAAACAGTTCATTGTCACAAGTTGAGGACAGCACAAGACTGCAGAAAAAAGGGGGCTTATTCTGCCGAATATTATTTTAAACTTATATTTCTCTCATATCATTACTCAAAGAATAATGTATAGTTGATTGTATTCTGGTATTAATTTCAGACACTAGATACACAAGAACTAAAGCACTTATTTTTCTTCTTGAAATACAGCTGAGGAAAAACATGCCCTCTCAACAGTACAGCTACCAACCTAAAATAGCATTATCCCTAGATTTCCTGTAGGGCTGTAAACGTCCCTTATATGGAAATATGCACCATTCAGTAACCCAACAACATTAATAAAAAAAGACTCTACACCAACAATACATTTTAAAATATGCTAAGTGCATTTATCCAATGCCACAATGCGGTTTTACATTGGAATTTATTGCCATCAAAGGGCAGTCTTCTCTTGACAAATTAACTTCCATCAATCCATTAAGATGCATTGGTAACACCAGCGAGTTTCTGAATGTTTATTATAAAGCGTAGATGTTAAATGTACATTTTAAATCCACATGCGGGATTCCCGTAGTTTTGATTTGTGCACATTATACATTATTTTGAAAGAGAGGAAAAGAGGTTTTCCTTTTTTGCTTTATAGACTTTTATTCTGAAAGGCAATGACGGAACTCCTGTGGTATGTATTCTCCTTGCTTAGACACTCTCGTCCCTTCGCCTTCCACCTCTACAGCATGCAAATGAAAACAGCGACTCCAACACACTGCGCACTAGTCAAGTACGGAGTGTGCGGCGCGGAGCAGCGCTTCACAGGAAGACGGTGTGAGCGCTTTTGGCTTTTTAAAATGGACTTTATTTAACTGCTAAAAAATTAATACAGAAGAGAGCTCATCTGTATCCCCACAGTACTCTCCGAATCTTACAACTATATCCTAATTAAGCTTATATTTGGGAATAGGACGGCGCTCATCAGCCCAAGACCGTGAGCTCCGTGCGCAACGGAATAATTAACAGCCGGTGCCAAGAGTCCGAGACCAGGAGAGGACAAACCAGAACTGACAAAGACAGAACTTTCCCTGCGGTGTGTCATCTGGGTTTTTTCTCTTTTCTTTTAATGGACTAGAACCAAGGTGTTTCGGACCCTGACTCCCTCCAATAACGTCTTTTAATGGACTACAATTTGGAATAACCATCTGTTTTCCGTCGGGTTTAGTCGGTAAGTCCCACATTACTGCCCTCATAACGATTGTATCTATAAATTCATATCTTTAAGTACTTTATTAAAGACACCATGGACGCGTTTCCCGTTGCTGTTGTGGTGATTGTAAAAACTCCATGTGTCCATTAGAGCAGGTTTTAACATGCTGAACTATGTTCTTTCCTTCATATTTTCAAAGTTAAAAATGTGTTTGGTCCTCTCAGATGGACGCACTTGTCAGACTGTCATGGTGCAGGAACATGTTGAAGTCCTCTGCCTGGACTTGACAGAGAAGGACCAGTGAGTTTCCCCCTGTTTTTTCCTGAGGGGGCTCCATTACCTCGGGCACACCTGGCTGCTTTCCACACGCATGCAGTTGTACTGTATCTCCCAGCTCTGTGCGGGCGTATGGTAATCAGTTTGACTGTTCCTACACAGTGCATTTTATTAGAGAGCATTAATATAGAATTTTCTTTTTTGCAAGTCGAGGACAGAGGGGAGTGTGGATTGCATAACAGTGGCTGAATCCTAATTTGTGCATGAATGCATGGGCCGTTGGAGCCAAGTGTGCCCAGAGAGACGAAGGATAAATTATTGATTGGATTTTGTAGAGAAATCTATTAAATTTGTTAAAAGCTATTGAAGAAGGGTCTTTAACACCGCTTTGCCGTTCATTATTTAGCAAATTCTTATTGCCATGTATTTAAAAAGAGCCATAAAAATAAGTGGGATAAAATTCTAACATTTAGTTTTCTTACTATGGCAGATTGTATTTTGTTTGTTTGTTTTTTTAACTGGTGTGGTCACAGATCTGTGAGTAGAAAGTACATTTTCTACCCACAAATCCTTGGTTCCAGTCCAGCTCTGTGCCCCAGAGAAAGAGCTTTAACCCCAGAGTTGTCCATCATTTCTCAGCCACCCTGTTTCAAGTCACATTGTGCCAATCCCTGGTGCTAAAGTCTGAATGGGGATGGTTGCAACAAAAAGTACATTTGTCATAAATTGTGTCAATATTGATTAATTCTCTCCATTGAAATAATATTTATAAAAGTATAAAAACAGTATAAATATATATTTATATATTATTTACAAATAGAATCAAATGAAGCTTCTCAATTGTGGCTATATTTTAGTTTTGTTGCCACAAAAAATACAATGTCACATATATTTGGTTAAATAATGTCATTATAAAAATACCATTTGGATTTGAAACGTATTTGCATTGGTGTCTAAATACAACAGTGCCTCCATGGTTCCTTACAGGTGACCCAAAGCAGCGTTGCACACGAAAAACAGTGCCTGATCAAATGAAGGATTGCCTGTGTTGCGAACACAAGGTATGCTGAACATTAAAAGTGCTGAGGGTTTTTTTAAACACTCAGTAGAATGTACAATTGAGGCATACCTACAATGAGGACCGCCAAGGAAGGGAAAAGCCTATTTGCAAATGGCACAAGGTTGTGATGTTTAAAACCGAGGAACACAAGTAACTTGAACAATTACAGGAGTGACCTTGAAGGGACAGCAGCAGACAGCAAACATTGTTGTCTCCTTCGTCTTCATCTTATTAACAGACGGTGGCAATTTAATGCCCTAACAGCAGTTAGTGTCCAGGTGTACTGCAAGGCTGTTTTAGAGTGATTGCCACGTTGATACAAACTGTGGCAGCCATGACATAAATGTGGTACAGAGGAAGTAGAAATATATATGTATGTTTACCACAAATGCTTTAAATACTTTTGACGTTTGTTCCAGTTTTTTTTCAGTGTCAGTATCAGTTTTAAATACCAGTGCAGTGACAGTTACATCTTTATGAACTCGTATGGATATGAATGGATGTTGTGTGTTGAACAGATGTGAAATGATCCATGCAAGTTGAGTGCACTATCATCAAAAAGTTGCGATAAAACTTTATGAAAGTACCATTCTTGAGAATGAAAAATAGCAGCCTGTGGTCATAGCAGAGTGACTCCACTTGGCCAAGACAGAGTAGAGGAAGGCATTGCTGGCCCACAGAATATTGAATCAGTGAAAAAAAAAAAAACAGACTTAGGGAAGATGATGAATAAGGGGCAAGAGAGTTGAACTATCTCTAGCCTCCAGAGTGGGTGGATGTCATAATTATCATTTGTCCTGGACCACTGCGGAGTGCTGCACATATCTCTGCAGATATGTGGGTGTACTGGTGGGGATGTTGACACTGTAGGGCAGGCCACATCACTTCCCATCCAGAGAGAGAAAGAAAGGGGGGAAAAGGACAAGTCTGTCTGTAATTGGTGCCTGGGAACACCGCAGGACGCAGGGAGAAGCTGATAAATGGTCTGAATGTGAAGGCTTTGAGACAATGCTGGGGCTGCACGTATAAGGACAGAATCACAAATATTCATACCTGCATGCTAAAGCATCAGAACTCCGATCTGCTCTCCCGTCTCGGGATGAATTGGAACAACCCCTGACTGCACACGAGCCTCACCCCCTCACATTTCCATCATCGTCTCCCTCTAATTTTGTTTTACAGCCCCTAAGCACAATCAGACTGACTTTAAGTATTAATGGAAGCTGCCGCTGTAGCTCACTGACCTCCGAAAATCCACAGGGAGAGTGAGTACAAAAGAACTCTCTCTAGCGGTTGTTGAGATTTGTGCCCTGTCTTCGCAGCATGTTGGTGTAAATTGCAGTAAATTAGAAGATAAGACTTGACACTGCCTGTAAAATGTTGCCTACCTGTCTGCACTTTGTGCTGCAATGCCGTTGTACTGGAGTGTGTGTGTGTGTGTGTTTGTGTAAATAGCCCATCACAGAAAGCTCCCCTCTGTCAGGAGACATATAGGAGGCAGTAGCTTTAGGTCAGTGGATCTTATTGGAGTCCCGCCAGACTCACGGGAACAAGAACTGGAGAAATTTGAAACTTCACCTTGAATGTATAGTGCACTTAAACATTTCCAGCATACAAAGTAATGATACTTCTAAAGTTATGTGTCTTACATTATACAACACATTTCCTATTCTGTAGATGAAAGGTGACGGGCTTACTTTTATTAAAAAACTAAATTCGTTGAGCAGATTCAGGCTAAGAGAAACCCCCCTCTGCCATTGTTAGAAATGCAACCCTACCTTCTGTTGCATTGACGCTGCATGTGATATGCTCACATTGCTTTTGCCAGACCTATTGGACTTCATATCACGCTGTGCTGTCTGTAATAATGTATTTCAATCTGGAGTTTCTGTTGTGACTGTAAGCTTAATGCGGTGCCCAGAGGTATACCTTCCACACACACACAAAAAAAACAAATAACAAAAAACAATCAGAGAATTAAATGCGCTATTGCTTCTTCATTTTGGAGCTTGATTATACTGTGAAACAGGTTCAAACAGGAGCTTTGAAAAATGCCGTCAAGCCTCTTTAACTGCGTGATGTGGCATTCCTTGGTAATTGGTCTTGAAAGGTCTGGTGCAGGTGGGCAGTGCAGGTCAGCTCAAGTCTGCAGTTGTTAGTTACCAGGCAGTCAATTAACTCAAAGTCAGTACCTGAGTGAGAGAGAGAGAGAAAAAAAAAGAAACTGTCAAAACTGCAAAGGCAGATAAACAAGAAAATGTTCCCTGTACTACATTTGCATTTTGGTCTTCCATTGTTTGTTGTCATGGAAATCTATTTTTTTATTCTATTTTCGTTACAGCCTACAGTGTTATTATTAAGGATGTAAGATGTTTGTGAGCAACATGCAAACAGTACTTTCAATAACATTATATACTGTATATACTGTATATATATTTCACAATGAGTGATGTTTGTCATAAACAGAATGTGGCTTCTTTACATGGAACTTTGTCTATGCATAACACTCATTTGTTCTCAAAGTTTGGTCATTCCCACTTTGAACAAGTGAGGACTTTCACGCTCCCCACCTGCCTTTGTCGCCCCAACAAGAATCTTGACAAATGACATTTCAGATATATAAAACTAATGCCTGGAAATGTCATATATTCTAATGAATCAAAATCAATAACATCAATTAACACAAACACATTTTCTAGTCACACAAAATAGAAAATAAAAGTGTAGTTTTGACATCATCACTTGAATCTTGACAATTTTCCTCCTGTTTGTCGCACCCAAGCTGTCACGTCTCCGTTCGCTAAGAGTGGTGGTTAAGAAACACTGTATTAAGGAAACTTTTTTTTTTAAGAGAGCACATTCTTTTAGTGTTTTTCCGAATGTCTCTCTGTGGATAAAAAAATTGTGATCAGCAGGTGCAGCTGTAAAAATTGTTTAGTTTGACATTTAAACACCACTTTGTTAAAAGTGTCCCTACATCTAAATTATTGAGATTTCACAGCTAAGATAAAGAAGTTCAGCCTTTACTTCACAAACACAAAGTTACTGCTCTGTGGTATTTCTCAGTTTTTCTTTTTGGTCATGTTTTCCTCCACCTCCTTCCTAAAAAGTCTGAGTGCAACTTATTCTTAAGAGCATCAAAAACCACTGTGATCGGTATCGACAAAGCTGTGACTTTTTAAAAATATTTTCCAAAATAATTGTTCTTCTTTCAAACTTTAAGGCTTTTTCCAAATTATTTTTTGTTGATCACACATTAGCTATGCAGATAAAGCACAAACTTTTAAAAACATTTTTGATTCACTTGATCAGGTAAGCTTATTAGCTTTTACGCTACACCCACTGAACTCAGATCATATGTGTGCATTAAACCTGTTTAGGACTAGTCATAAAACACGGTGTAGATTTGGGTACATGTGTGTTCTTGCTATTCTGGTTCACAGAATAGCTGAGGTGCCCAACTGAGGTGCTACGATTTTTTTTCAGTGTTTTTGCCACAAACCCTTAGAGCAACCTTGGACAACTACTACTTACTTTTGTTTGGATAATGCTGGAAAATTACAATGTGAAATTATTCTTTGCGCATTATGAAGAGTCATTAAAGTGCCACTAACTCTATCAACAGGAGTTGACTTGAGAGCTCCTCTTTTCTTCCCTTCAGTCAAGTATAAATATAGAAGATCTTGATTTAGTTTGAGGAACAAAATGAATGTAATTATGATTGTGATATGCAGGGAAGTCATATTGAAAACTGCCTTAAGGTCAGCAGTTTGCTTCCTGTTTGGATTGATGGTTTGCTGTATGAAGATGACATGTACTAGGTTTGGATTTTCATCAAGTGTTTTTTTCGTTTCCTATAGGTTTATTGAAGACCCACAATAGGTATGAGATGTGAATATATATTGGTTTGCCATTGGATTGACAGGGCTGATTGAGACTGGCTCAATGTTTGATCCTGCATAAATAAATGAATTATAATTTCAGTGTATCAGCCCCATAAGCACATTTTCCCATTTTTATTGTGCTAGCAATTGTGCCAGATTCTCATTCAGCTCTGTCTGTATTGAACATTGTAAATAAATTATCTACAGTTTACCAGTGCTGCTGGATGAGTCACTCCAGAATACAACATGTCTGTTCATTATTTTCTCCAGGGACAATAATGTAGTTGGGAAATATATACATCTGTTCAGTGCAGGTGTTCGCCTTTTTTTTTTTGTTTTTTGTCCTCACCGATATCACCTTGGTGCCAGTGTACACTGGTGTGTGCCGTCTGCTCTTTTCTGGAGGACTAATTACTGCACATTAGTTAAACAGACCATTTGAAATGCAAGCCAGCTTAATCACGCTTTCCAGGGGAGCCGCTGCTGTCTCTCCTTCCCCTTCCTTCCTCCCTGCACACGTAGTCCTTCTGCTTCTATTATTAGTTCTATCAGGCATATGCTCTCTATCTATCTATCAGGAATGAAGGCCCACCGGCGAGGAACACTGAGGACACCATGTAGTACACGGCTGGGAAATTAAACCCACTCATGTCCAAGATGCATGCATCATATTTAGACCTGTAACTCTATGTAATGATATTAGACCCTATGCTGACATCCGTAAAGAGCCAATGAGGATGTTTTTCACAATACAACTAATACAACAGTCGGCAAGGCTTTATCATAGCCATCGAATTTCTTTGTTTGTGGCAAGGCTTTCATATCATAGCCATCGAATTTCTTTGTTTGACAGTTGGGTGTGCGTACTGCCAAATAAGCTTTTTTTTTTTTTTTTCTGCATGTGTTGCAGTTGGTATTAGGAACAGTAACTCCTTTTTAGGTCGAGACTGTGAGGTTGATTTAATAGCTGACAGTGGTCCAGTTGCTCCACTCGATGTCAGGGATGTTCCCTTGAAACACAAAGAGTATTCAGTCTCCTGGATTTCTCAAAGGGAAACGGATGAATAGAAGGAATGGGCCAATTAATGGAGTTGGTAAAGTATGCACCACTCTTTGCACTTTTCTTCTGACACCAAGGCGGTATACCATAAGCTGGAAACCTGCCACTGCAGTAAGAGCACATACGCTAAGCACCTATACTCAGCTATATTGTGGCATGCACTCACAGACTGCTTTTAATGAGTGTTAAGATAAATATTCAGGCTAAGAAATATTTATTTTCACATCAGGTTTGTGGCCTGTGTGTACATTCACATAGAGAGGTAAGGTTTTGTTTGTACAGTTTTTCACAAGTCATATGAGTGCTTGAAAACACAAGTACAAAGTAAGGGATTTTGTTCTTGATGGTGATGAGAGAATGTTCTGTCTGTTGTTGACTGCCACCAGGGATAACAAGACTTTTGTTCTTGCACATCAAGTTGCATCACGTTACAGCAAAAGTAATTAGGGGTCTCGCCTTATGGGCTATTTGTGGTTGCAGCATATTTCCTTTTACTTAACCCTGACAGTGACGAGTATAGAACATGACTCTGACCGACTCCGTGTTTTGATAAAAAGGATAGAAATGTATTAAACGGTCAAGAGCTCTGTGGACAAGCAAATAGTTTTAGGTCAGAGTGAGTGTTGTGGTGTGTTGTCACATATTGTATCCGTATCTATACGTATTGCCTGTGAACTATGACCACTGCAGAGGTGGATTAAAATGAACTGGTTGTTGAGTTGTTCTGTTGTTTGAGGCATGAAGCTGTGTTAAAAGTGAATGGTATACAAGGGTGGACAACCCAAGGGCCCTCTAATTCTTATAATTCTATACTGCAGTATTGCCATACTAACGTACGATCATGTGTATTAATGAAGGATCAGTGCGAAAGTGCTTGTTGAAGTTGCACAGAAGGAGCAGGAGTAGTGTCACCACTGTGACAGTTATCAGTGGGTATTTGACACATTGTAATTCTGTAGAGCACTTCACTGCACCGGAACACTACAGTGCATATCATCTCCGGTCCAAATAAGTGTGAACATCCTGATTTTTGTATAGCTCAGTGGCTCTGTACGAGTTCAATGCATATCATCTTTTCTTTTAACAGGCTTTTCTTTTCCACTTTGCTTTTGCTGACCTTTTTCCATATAAACTGGACGTTGGATGAACATTTCCAGGTGGGAAGAATAATGCATTATGATAACACTTGACAAAACCAGTAAAGTTAGTAAGGAGATGAATAATGAAAACTGAAGGAGAGACCAGTGAAAGTCAGGCTGTGGAAGAGCTCTCATGCTTTTCATAGTGTTTCATAAAAACTGATTGCCAGAAAAATGGATTGGCTCCTGTTCGGATTAAGAAAAAAAAAAGTGAATAAGTCTAATGCCTTTCCATATCTTCTTTTTCATCTGCTCACAGCAGTGTGTCATTGGGTGGTGTGCGATATTATCTTTTAATAGACTTTGTTTCATTTCATGTTGTCCTACGGGGCATCAGGGTCAGAGAGGAGGGTGCCATGGCGACCTCTGGACTCCTACGTTTAATTTGGATGCAGGTTAAAAAGAAGCAAAAACATGACATTATATTAACCTTATCTGTCTAGTAATTAACACAACAATCAACACCTGGTTCAATGTACAGAGGTATATAATTAATAATTGACTGTAATTAAACCATGTTCTAAGACAATGTCAGTAATATACATATATACACTAATAATACATTTAGTTAGTTAGTTAAAACAAGAAAACTAATTCTGTTATATTTTTCAAATATATAAATGATTTACAGCCAAATGAGTTACATATATTTACATTCTATTGAGTGAATAATTTATTTTCTTCTCCAAATGTATTCTTTTTTTCTTTATTATTCTTAGATTCTACAATATTCCCTGTGAAGTTGAAGCTTTTCTGTGATACACTGGGGTGAGGTAGTGTAACCTTGGCATAGATGACAAGTATGTTCCAGACTGTATTGAGTTTTTGATCAATATATTTCATTGCTGTCTACCTTACAATAACAGCTTCAGTAATTGATATTTCTGAGACGATTAAAGTTGTATCTGCCTTCCTTAATATAGGCTAAGTTTAATAATACTAACTACTACTTTGTTTAAGAAAAACTTTTTTTAAGGAAGATTGAGTGGATTCCTTTGATTTCTCAGCAGGGGCAGCTTTAAACACAATTTGAACACACCAGATGTGTTACTGTTGTTGAGTTTGCTAGTAGAACATTACAGCAAAATATGGGAAGGCATATATAATGTAAACATATCAAAATTGATGTACTTACTTCTTCTGATTTGTAATTTTCTTTTTTGTTTCCACATCTTGCAATTCACTTTTCCTGTTTGCTTTGCTGTGTCAGCTGCTGACGTGGATTGAATTGGTATACAGTGCCCCGAAATTTTAATTTTTTAATTTATTTATGTTTTGACTGGTCACTAGTGATCAGAGTATTCAGTGGTGTCGCTATATTGATACTCACATGACTTTCAATTTAGTATTGATTACGGTCATGAAGTATCAGTACTAATTCATGTAACTCATGTAAAACTAAGTGAAAATACAAGGACAAGGACAACTCACGAAAAAAGTCATGGGATTACTATTGTTTTTTTTTTAAATACATTTTTTCAACATACTTCTCCATTAGTTCTAGCTAATTATATTTGTTACCCAGAACAGCTTGTCAGAGTCATGGCACTATTCTTGTCATATCATTAATTACTGTAGAAAATTAATTTCTTGTTATCCATGATTGTGGAAAAGAAGACATCTCATGAATTCACCAGTCTCCTGAGAGTAAATGTGTCCTCCATCCACTGGGATTTTAGACAAATGATTGTATTTGATGTAAGTGTTGTGCTGAGGCCTCAGATCATTAAAATGACAAGCAAGAGATTTGCCCTTTTTTTTCAACGTATGCCTCAGATTGCAGTGTGTTTGCAATTTCTCATTCTCATTAGGCAACGACAGCAAACTGTGAAAAATGTAAATGTTTTGTTAACAATTATTTAGTGTTGTTATTAGTTTGAAATTAAGGACAGAGATAGTTTATGGTCTTGAGCAAAAAAGTTTACTTTAGTGATCACTTCTTGTCAAAAGCCAAAAGTATGTGTGAAAATATTTCAATGATTATATGTGAAATAATTTTATTTGGTTTTGTAGCTGCATCCTTCAAATGGCATGTGTTAACTTTTCCATTCAAATGACTAAGGGGCTGTCAGTACTGTTAGTACTCCTAACATTATGATTGTATGTACAGTTGTAACAGAACATGCTCAGTAAGTAAGACCTCAACAAACGGGTTAAGTATGTTTCATATTTATTTAATGTCTCTTCTATGCCACACCTACATTTTTGTCCTAAATGCATTTGATGCACAGGGACATGTCATTTTATGCTGCTTAGCTTCATCATATTTAACAGTAAACTACTACTACTACAGACGTGTTCATATTTTTAGACTGTTATTTCACTTTATTCCGTTGGAATGAGAATAGATGCCAGACATCTGGGTAAAAGGATTATTTGTATGTAAAGCCTGGATATTACTTAACATTGTGGCTTAATGTTCTTTTTTTCTCCCTCCCTTCCCCTTTTGTCCATGTTTATTTTGCAGATATCTCAGCCCCGAAATGGTGCCGTGTATCATTTTCATCGCCTTATTTGTCTCTGTGGCTCAATCCCAGGATAATCACCCCTTGCAGGCGTTATCCTCCATTAGCAAGTCCTGTGAATCCTTGTGCTCCTGTGAAAATAAAGATGGCATTCTTTATCTCAACTGTGAGCAGAGGAACATCAGCAAAATCTCACAAATCAAAGTCCCGTCAGGTGTGCCCTTCCATCTGAACCTTTACAAAAATGACTTGGTGGAGCTTGGTGCAGAGGAAATGGAAGGGCTTAAAAATGCTGTGTCGCTGCACATCGGAGGTAACAGCATCCAGGAGCTGGAACCGGGGGTCTTTAGCACCCTCAGTTCACTGAAGAAACTCCACATAAATAGCAATTTCCTTGTTACTTTGAAGGAGGACACTTTTCAAGGTCTGGTGAACTTGGAGTTTCTACAAGCTGATACAAATTTCATCAGGGTAATAGAACCAGGGGCCTTCAACAAACTGATTCGTCTCAAGGTCCTGATCTTAAATGACAATGCTATTGAGTTTTTACCCAATAACATTTTTCGGTTCGTACCCCTAACTCACCTGGACTTGAGAGGAAACAAACTCCAGACTCTGCCATACGTAGGGTTTTTAGAACATATTGGTAGGATTATGGAACTTCTGTTGGAGGACAATGACTGGGTCTGTGACTGTGATATATTACATTTAAAAATTTGGATGGAGAATATGAGAACCCAGTCAGCAATTGGTGATGTGGTCTGTAGCACACCGCATCAACTTAAAGGAATTACTCTGGCTAAAGTGAAACGGGATGTTCTGTGCCCTTCACATGCAGACATTAACCTGGAGGAGCCTTCCAAGTCTCTAGATATGGTTGTGACTCCTTCCACCAAAGTGTCTCAGATTCCTAAACTGATTGATGCCAAAGATGACGCCAAGTCCCCAACACCTTCTTATATCCCTGGAAGTCCTTGTGTAGATCTGTGCTCCTGTCACAATCACCCTGTGGCTGGGTTTCTGATGCATTGTCAGGACAGAGGAATTCAAAAGGTGTCAGATATCGGACTAGTCGAGCAGAGCCCTACTAAACTAGTTTTGACGGGAAATATGATTCAAAAACTCTCAAAGTATGACTTTGTCACATACGACAGGCTGGAACTGCTAAATTTGGCGAACAATAGAATTGATTATATCGATAATGAGACATTTCTTACCCTGAGCAGTTTGAAGAAGCTCTATCTGAATGGCAACAGGATTGAAAAACTTTTCTCCACAATGTTTGTGGGACTCCATAACCTTGACTACTTGTATCTGGAATACAACCTTATCAAAGATATTGCTCCAGGCACATTTAATCCCCTGCCGAATCTGAAGCTGTTGTCGTTGAACAACAATCTGCTCAGCTCTCTGCCAGCGCAAATATTCCGCAATGTGCCCCTCACCAAATTAAACCTGAGGAAAAATCTACTTATGCATCTGCCAGTGAGTAATGTGCTTGATCAACTTGATGCACTTGAGCAGATTTATTTAGAGGACAACCCATGGGACTGCAGCTGTGACCTGCTCAGCCTCAAACAATGGGTGGAGAAACTCAGTAAGGACACGGTGGTGGGCTCCATCCTATGTCACACCCCCAAGAATGTAGTGCAGGCCGACCTAAGAAGTCTGCGTCATGAGACACTGTGCCCAGGCTTGGGAACATACAACCCGGGAGAGGAGGAGAGTATGACAGCAACACTGGGGCCTGATGACAGCAACAAGAGCATCTTCAGCTCCCTCACAGAGGCTGTCCCTCTCTCTGTGCTCATCCTGAGCCTTCTTGTCTTCATCCTGACGATCATCTTTTGCTCAGCAGGGTTGGTGGTGTTTGTGGTGCATCGACGACGAAGGAGGGCCAAGAAAAAGTCGGCAGAGGAGCAGCCCAGAGAAAACAGCAACAGTAGCCCCATCCACCTGCACTACAGCATGTACGGGCAGAAAACTACCCACCACACCCTGACCCAAAGAACAGGGTCTGCCACTTTGTATGAAGACAGGTCACATAGCCCCATTGTTCAGATTTGCCGCAATCCTACCTACTGCTCCCAGCACAAGGAGCACAACACAGAGTTGGATTACAGCTTCAACGATCCCAGCTCCAAGCACCACGTTTGCAAGAGCATCATGGAGAAGGAGAACACATCCCCTCTCACGGGAAACACAAAGTATAAACCCATGCCTGGAGATTGCCTCACAGAGTTTGTCACTCTTGGGAATCCCAATTCCCTGTACAGGAACATTGTTGAGAGGGAGAAGCAAGTCGGAATAACGGAGTACCTCCGCAAAAACATGCCACAGCTTCATCCCGTGGTAGACATGCATGTTCCGGGGCACCAGGAGGAGTTGAAGCTAATGGAGACAATAATGTACTCCAGACCACGCAAAGTCATGCTTGAGCAAACAAAAAATGAATATTTTGAACTGAAGGCTAACCTGCACTCTGAGCCAGACTACTTAGAGGTTCTGGAGCACCAAACTGCATTTAACTGACTTTAAGTAGAAAAATATGAATATATACAGATCACACACTATATATACTACTATATATATATATAAATCTATATATATAGTAATAAACCAAGTGCCTTGTCCTGTTGTCCCTGTTATACTTTCCACCGTGTGAAAAGAGTATAATGGGCAAATCACATTAGGTTAAATGTAGCACAGAATGTAACAAGGTTTGTTCTTTTTGTTACCGTGCATTTTAAGAGCCATGTTATGTAGCTTGGTTAAAGGTGTCATTTTTTTCTGTTTTGGTTTGTTGTTTTCTTTTTTCTTTTTTCTTTTTTTTTTTTTTGTTTGTCTGTTTGTTTCTACTCAATGTATATTATAGAATCTACTGCAGTCTGTTGAACAGGTCTGGGTAAAAAGCCTCGTTGAACTCCACTCAATCAGCTTTTGAGGATTGATTAAAAAATTCCAAGGCATTAACCACAGCTCATCCATATACCACATTACCCCCTGCACTCACACAAATACCCACATCTGAGGATAAAGCTGATATATTTTTTCTCAGAGACATGAGTGAATTTTAGTCACTGTTTGACCCAGAATCACAGTTTTAATCAGTTCATCCCGACTGGCTATGACCTGATTAGACCCTCTGTCAACATAAGCCAGATGGAATGCTGTAATCAGAATGCTCATTGTGCCGTATCATCAGTAAAATGCCAACTGTACACTGGAAAACACAGATAAATGGTGGTTATTTTGCTCTTCTTCAACTCCAGTTGTTTTTTGTTTAAGGAACTCGTTAACTGAAGTCATGCGTCATTAATTTATTTTAATACAAAGTAGTGACTTTTGAAAAAAAGACCTTTCCCATTCTTTGTCTTCTGTTACTGATTAAATAAAGCACTTAAAGTACAGTATATAACACATCTGTGATCTTGTAAAAAACAAACCAATACATTGCACTAATCCAATGCCATAAGACGATGCATGACAATCAAT